CAGACAAAGAAACATATTAAATACGATACAATATATATATACGATTTTTATAAATGATCTTTAAAATCTAATCAAATATAATTTATTCTATCCTTAAATTATTATTTTCATTAATATTCGAATAATCTGTTTGATTATTATCATCAATAAGAGACGGATGATATATAATTATATCTTGCTTTTCTTGCCCACATTCACAACAATCATTTGATAAATCATTTTTATCAATACTAATAGAATTTGTTGATGTTAATAAATCACGTTCTTTTGTATTTCTCCATTTCATACGACGATTTTGAAACCTAAAATTTTCTCTATATTATTCATAAATATTTTAAATTATTTTTTTGCTTACCAGATTTTCACCTTGATAATTTCAAATAGGGAGAACAAAAAAAAGTTTTTCTTTCATAATTTCTTTTCTGAATAAAATATTTTTACCTGTGAATCTTTTAAATCAAGACGTTGAGCTAATTTTTTTCTTTCAGGTTTTGTTATATATTTATGTTTTAAAAAAGCAACTTCAAGACCTTTACGTTGTTGATCAGAAAATACGGCCCGTTTTAGCATTCTTGGACGTATTTTATTTCGAAAACCAAATGGCCAAAATACATTTGATGTTGCTGATGGTATATAAAATCCATTTGTCGACATTGTACCATTTAATATCGATGATGAATCATTATTTTCAAAATAATTACCTTTAAGATTAAATAAAAAAATCAACAAATCTATATTTCTTTTGTTTTCACAATAGTTTGTGAACACATTAATTCAATAGACAGAACAAAAAATAATATGATTAATTATATAAACATACTTTAGAAATAAGCCTGAAGTGAAAAAATAAAATAGAAAACAGATAGAATTGCCTCTTGGCAAAGATTAGTGTGTCTTTATCGTTTAGATTCATCTATATTTTATCATCTACTTAAAATTCTCATATGAAATATGATAGTTAATTAACAAATAAACACCTGTTAGATATGTTTGCTTATGTAGTCGAGTAATTGAAATGTACATAGAGCATTAAATAACAGGTAAAAAATATGTTGATTATATGAATACAATTCAAGTAGAGTTGTACCGAGAAAGTGAAAATGAGAAATATAAAGTCATTATATAGTACTTATAATTGAAACGAGTAAGATCAACTTACAATATCTTAGCAAATAAGATACTTACCAATAAAAGGTTGAAGAGTTGGACGCCATAATGAATTAGTTGGAAACAAAGGATGATGAGATCGATTAGTAGCAGACATTTGAAGAAGACTATTTATTTGTTGATCATTCATAGTTTCGTAAGATAATTCATTAAGAGAATGAGAAGTTGAATTTATATTTAAACAATTTGAAAATGTTTGTTTAAATAGGGGAGATTGAATAAGAGATGGTTCATTTGAAAAGGCAGATGAGTTTGATGAAACAGGTGATTCAACAGGATTAAAAACTATGAAATAAATGCAACGATTCTTATGATTTTTATTATTCAAAAGAAATATTTTGATAAATATTATGTATTTTTTTTTTAATATTTTTTATTGCGAAGACGAATAAATTCGAAACTGCTTTACCTTTATGTATTAATTCATCATCTGAATCATTGACTAATTCAAATGAAGAATTATTATCTGAATATGTATTAACATTCCCAAGAATTGTATCAACTCCAAATTTAAGTTTTTTATGCGGTGATAATAATTTTTCATTAGTAATTGTTTTTGTTCCAATTGAAGTTTTAATTTTTAATTTATCTTCATTATCATTTGATATATTTCTTGTCATATTTGTACACAATGGTATTAAATTCGAATTCTGACAACATACACCATCAATAAGCATTTTATATATATAAATAAGTCTATGTACGGCAAGCAATCAAAATTCTCATATTTTCGATTAGTTGGACAAATGCATCGTCGGATCATTTTTTCCATTAGTGTCCAATCATTGTCGAGAGAGTGAGAAAGAAAGAAAGAAAAAAAAAATAAATGACAACAAGCATCCACCATTCATAATGCTTGAAGGTAGAATCAAATTGCACTATTTCTTCATTTTTGTCAATTGATTTGATCAAAAGAGCAGATACTCAATAAGGCGGTATTGATCATTGAAACTAAAAACTGATCTGCGTAAAAAAAAAAGAAAATAATTTATAACTAATGTAAGTAGTGACAACGAAAAAGAATTATTAAATCAAACAGAATGTTAGAAGAAGAAAAAAAAACAACAACCTGATTATTTATAGGCATCGTTATTTGTATGTGTATATGTGTAATCTAATCAATAAAAACAACAATATTCAATCAAAACAAAAACAAATTTTTACTTTCAATTAATCATCGATAACAATGAAAATCTTTGTGAATTTTTTTTCAATCATTCAATTATTGAAAGAGAGAGACAGAACAAAAAACGTAACGATATTCTTTTTCATCATGATTTCATACTGTCAATTGAAGCAGAGAAGAGTACTTTTAAGTTTTGAGTGATTGACATAGAAAAAGAAAACTAGCTAACAGGCAAATATACTCTTTGTTGGTTAAATAAAATTGCTTCACAATAATAATGAAGGATCAAATACGTTTTTTTCTTTTCTTTTTTTCACATATTATTTCAATTCAATTGAAGTTTATTTTCTATTGATTTGTATTGATAACGGATGTCTGAACAAAAGGAAATATATTTTGGTTTTTTTATATAGAATTTTTTTTAATAATACAACTAAACAGAACAATTAATTCTAATTGATTTATAAAGAATACTTTGATCATTAGTGTTGACTAAATTCTATTTCGTTCTGATTATTGTGATATACTCTTGTTCATTCTTCTATAATGTGTTGTTTTACATGAGTGATACTTGAACTATGGATGCTTGATTACATTGAATTCATTATTCTATGCCTATAAGTCACATAGATACTGAACTAGTTATTTCGCCGCCAAATGCATATGAATAAGCGACAACTAAAGAAATCAGCATATAAAAAGTATCAGAAAATGATTGATATTATTCTATATAAGACTAGTGACCGTTTTTCTTTTAATCGCTTTAATATAAACGAATGAATTGATGCACAATGTGTATGAAATAAGTGGCCTAAGTTGATTGTCATGTGTTGAAAAGAGGAAAGAATACTCAAGGGTAATCATCATACACACCTTCTCAACTTAACACGGATGACGAACTTTTTTTTTGTGTCTTAGTTTTTAATTTATTCACGAGTCACTTGAAAATTTCATGTAGAATTAACTGTTGTCATGCATTATGTAATGAAATACCATAATGAAGATACTACAAAAATCATATTGAGTACATATTATGAAAAAAACTATGTTTATGTAAGATTATAGAGAAAAAAAAAATGTCAAAATATACTCATTTTAACATAAGATAAGTATCGATTTTTTACTGTTTCCTCGTAGAAGTGAATTCCAATTCTTTGTATATTAAAGAGAGATGACAAAGTCAAGCCACTTTTCGAGTCAAGTTATTTTGGCATTTTTTTTTCTTTTTCTGTTTGTTTTTATAAAGAACTTTCACAACAAGTTTGTAATGTTGCAATACCTTGTTTTTAATTTTTATGCAAAAAAAAGCAGAGTAAGAGCAGTCTTTCATAGAGTTTCACAAGACAGTAAAACATCAGTTTTTATAAAACGAAAATCTAAACAATTAGGGGTATATCGAATTCGTATATGACTGTATTTCGTCGTATTATATATGGTTCAGTAATGCAATCGTGTATCTTCGCGGTCGTAAATGAACCTACTTTATCCCGGTACGATTAATACACAATGTTTTTCTCTCGCATATTATATACTCATCTCAAACATTAAACACAAAATCGGCCAAAAAAATTAAAATAATTTAAACTTACTGTTCCTTCAATTAATGTCAGAATAAAATCTAAAATAAATAAAAATAAGAAAAAAGTTTATTATACTTACCATTAATTGACTTGATGCCGTAAGATGATTTAAAATTTAAAACAAAAATAAGACAAATTAAATAGTTTATAGTTATTGTGCACTGCGTTGATATGATAAAATGATATAAAATGAAGGTACCGTTACGGTACTCAATTTGTTTAATTATGCACACTCACTTTTGCAAAAGTTAAACAAAATTGTGCATACGTCAACCGTATAGCATGGCACATGGTGATATACGATAGTCGTACATCTCCAAATACAGAAGAGAGAAGTTTATCTTTAGATCTCTTCAGGTCAAATCGGTATGATTGTAAGCGGCCATTTTAGATGATTTTTTTCCGTCGTTTAGTAAGTGCAATATTACAACTATATTCTACTATATCGTAAATGATCGGACGCTTGATCTTCAGATCGTTTAACGACAGTTATCAACTTGAACGACACGATCAAATATGTTCATAATATTACACCGATTAAAACATCAATTTACAGCTATTTATGACCGCAAACTAAGTGAAACGATAGTATAGAGTAACGTGTTGAGCTGCGTCGGCTACTGTAATCATAGTCTTGAGTCTTCGTAAGTCTTTTACAAGATCGGTAAACTTTAAGTTGTTCACAAACAAAAGATATTTATGAACATTTAAATTAGTGCCTTATTGCATTCCAAAGATGTTGAAATGCACTTATTAAGTAGTTTGTGAAAAATTTGAATGATGCGATCTCATTAAAAAAACACTTCGAGAAAACATACGTTCAAGTGGAGATGGGATAGCAAGAAGACACATTAGTTTTCTAACAAGTTTAATAAGATTATTGGTTAACTTTTCTTCTTGCAGAAAACCATGAATTTCTTTTAAAATTGATTTTCGTATTGAATTATCAATTTTTGCTTTTTTGAATGAATAACTGGAGTGTGAATCCATGACTCAGACTCGCTCATTCCTGATATATGAAAGTTCTATTAAGTAAAATTATGAATCAGTGTTTACATTGAAGTTTTGTATACATTTTTCAATGAAAATTTCAAAAGAAGTTTATAGTTAGAATAATTTATGGGTAATTAACAAAGTATTAATTAAGGATAAATCTAAATGAAGTAATTTTTAATAGTTGAGTACTGCAGTTTTGAACTTCAGATCAACTGATGAGAATTCTATTTATAAAGTTTGTCATAATTTTATTGAGAAATAGTATAATGGTGCGTCATTAGAATACTTGATGTCTTAACTCATCTCCTGATGATAGTATGCTTTTTTAAAGGGATACAGCGAAATCTATAAGTATGAGTGATCATCGTTAGCCTTTTTGCATTTTGAAATTGTCTATATATATATAGTTATTATTCACTTTATTCGATAACATGATAATAAAATCGTGAATATGACGTATGTCAGGATGAAAAATGAGGAGTCTGTATACGTTTGTAGTCCATCGTCTTACATTATTAAAATCAAATTTAGACGGTTTATATAGCTCAATATTACGAAGTTCCATCCCTATGACCGTATACGATCTCTGTGTACGAAGACTGTAAACAACCGTTTTTGTCTCTGTAAATAATCGTATGCCACGGTACACAACACGCAGATAGCTGATCCGAATGCTAAGTCACATACATCACCGTATTTCTCTCGAAGTACAATTGTTGATGATCACACTTATTTAACCTAAATGTTTCGACAATATGCAAAAAATTTATCTTTCGAAGCATACGTTTAAGAAGGCGAGATGATGATAGGCTGGCTTTTAAGCTGTTCCAATGGTCTTTGAGTCATACACAAATAATGCGCTTTATTTGAACATTTAAAGCCACTACGAACAATTCATGCATGAAAAAAACACGAAATTACATCATAGAAACATTTTATCCTGTAAAGAAAATCATCACAATCATCTCATTAAACAAGATTTTGAATGAAGAATACGAAAGTCTACAAAATTTAGAAACAATCATGTACATTCTGTATTACGACCGTATTTTTCAACATTACACACGAACAAAAATACGATTGTTATATATTGAACTAGGAAAGCGAACTAAATATTGTGATTGTCTTTCTAAAGCTCAAAACCATCGAACTTCATCAGATGTTAACATAAAAATATAGAAAGAAAAGTCTTGACAATTTAATGTAATTTCAGTAAGGGTAAATCTTTTCATCAACATTTAGGCTAAACATTCGAACGTACATTTGATCATTTCTATGTTCTAATCATCAAAAGAGAACATATGTATGTTTAGTGTAAATAACTTTAATGGTTGACAAGGATAGGATATTTATCTATGGAATATTTCTGTGTTAATTGCATAATGAACTTACTTATAATTGAATAAACTTATTCAAAGTTGAAATAAACATTCATGAGTTTGGATATTTAAACATAATGTTGTAAACTTTAAAAACAAGCATGTAAAGAACTGAAAATAGAGATCTGCGGGACAAACTTTCTCGTGTCCCGAATCCCGCTTGTCCCGTCCCAAAAATTTTTCGGGACAGTCCCGATTGTCCCGCGGGACAGGACAAACGGGATTTTTCGGGTTTCGCAACTGTCCCGCAGTACTCTATTTCATAGACTTATATTTAATTGAGCAATAAAATAATTTAAATGAGCAATAATAATACTGCACGAACAATAATTTATTTAAATTGAAGGTAAATTTTATATAAGATAAATTTTATATGAAAAGGGTTTGAGATCTCAATCTCATCGTATGTATATATGTATCAGTTTATGTATATCTCCTATATCTGCATCCATATAAGAAACGTAACGCTATATATAGGGCGATGGCAAGTGCTGAAAAATCCATAAGATGGAAAATCCCATAGATGATGAACAACGAAAGAAAAATCCATGGAACAGCATGAAAGCAAGAAGAACAGAAAGAAAGGAAAAGTCCATCGGATATATATGAGAGGAAAAGAAAATGCCGATCATTCCTTAAAATTATATTTGCAAGCACATCATTGGTATATCCATTAGGTTAAAATATTGTAAACCTCCACCAGAGACAAAAAATGTGGAAATAGATACAAAAAGAAAAAGACACAGACCATCTAAAGTAAAAAAAAAGCTTTATTGACATAATAATATACTCCGTTTTCATTTTTATTTTTTTATTATTTTCAATTGTAACTGACAAGAATGCAGTTTCTCTTTTTTTTTTATTCCTAAAATATGCAATGACTACTGCTATTTAATGAATTAATTATTGTACGCTTAATAGTATAAAATTGCTCAAATAAATTTTTTTTATTGCTTGAAAATTATTGCTAGATTATATTTCAATTATTGCTCATTTCAATATTTTTATTGCTCAAATAAATACTAGCCTATTTCATATATGGATAAAAAATTCGGGACATAGGTTTTTTCTATATTGTCCCGATCCCGTTTGTCCCGTCCCGAAAAATTTTCGGGACAATCCCTATTGTTCCATGGGACGGGACAAACGGGATTTTTCGGGATTCGGGACTGTCCCGCAGTACTCTAATCCTTTCTATCACGATCTGTGGGAGGAGCGGTGCAAATCTTTCAGATCGTGTTTCACAAAAACATACAACAAATATTTTTGCGAATGAAACTTTGACAACAATGTATTTAATATTATACAATTCCAAGTTCAGTCAATATCACTATTTTCTTATATTAACGTATGAACTTGCGTATTGTTAGCGATTTATCATAGTCAATGTTAATTTCAAGATCGACACCAACCATTAATATGCTTCATTATTGAATGAAAGTATATCGAAAATAAAAAAAATATTCTACAATTTAATAGAATTTCTTATCATACTTATATATGACTACGTTACACATTTTTCTGAATTTTTGTAACTTTAATATTTGACTTTATCTACAAAGACATTAATCTATAAGTGTCACACAAATACATTAGTTCTATTACAGTCTATTTAATTTATTCAATAAAATTAATCAATTTCCTTCTATTCACTTCACTAGTTTCTCTAGTATATGAAAGAATAGATTTCTATTCTTTTTTTTTATTCCTATCATTGCTTCGGCAGCAGATGCGTTATTGACATATATGTGACGTTGAAAATATCGACAATCAAGGACTCGAAACAAGGTGAGACGTATTAAGACTAGCTGCAAAACGACTATCACTATGAATTTATTATTTATAATTATCAAACATTCTATCATATGTACACCGTATGAACGCACCTCCAGATTTACTTCAACTTCAATGAACTATACCAATCATAATCAAACTATCAGCAATCTTTACTGTTAAGATTATGCTATATTAGGAATTTTAATCATGATACAAAAATTTGACATATCCTTGTTATATATAGATAAGAGTAGAAGATAATTGCTCGTCATTCTTCGCTTTCTCTTATGTTATATCTCAACGTTGTCATCATCAAATAGTATAGAGTATTATTAACGATTAGATACTATTTTTTCGGTTGTGTCAAATGAAAGAGTGTTTTTAATATATCATATTATTTGTTTTAAATAATATATTTTCTCCTTGTTTCATTAAGATACTCAGAATGAATTATATATTAACCAACGATTTTGATCGACTTCTTTTTGTTTGCATTTAAAAAACAAATAATATCATAATGCTTTCTATACAAAACATTCATTCTTAACATTTACTCATAGTATACTTAATAGAAAAATGGAAGTGATTGAATACTGATTTATTTTAAACTTGTAATTCAAGTAAAGTTTGCAAACAACTGTTTTGTTTTTTTTTCCGCTAAACTCCATCAGATAATGGTAATTGAAAATGATTTCATTTTGAGTTTGTTAGTCAATAACTCAAAAAAAAAACACGACAAATAACCTAGAGAATATACTTTCGACTATATGTTACATCGAAATATTTTGTTTTCTGTTTATTTCGATTTATGATTTATATTCGTTTTTTTTACATTGCGGATTACTTTTTTATTGACGCAGTGATGTGTGTGTAATGAAGCATAACATTTTAGTGGTGAAGCATTATCTATCATATTTTATGTTCTTTTTTTTTGGTTTTGAAGAAGAAAAAAAAATGCATGATTGACGTAGATTTGTTTGTCACTAAAAACTTCTACAACTAAGTAGAAAAAGATACAAGAATATGATAATGGTGAATGATAAATATTGACAAAAGAATATTAAAAAAGGAATTTATTAAACGAAATAGTTAACTAGTCAATTGAGAGTATGATTCCTTGACATCAATTTCAAGAGTAAATAACAAAAAACAAGGAATAATAATCAATATAGATATTCAAAAGAAATTGTATGATCAATGTAATTCAAGAATAGAGTCCATTGGGCTTTTTACCAGGAATCACAAAGATTTTATTCTATTGATAATAAGATGTTGTAAATTTAATAATCATGAATTATAAAAAATATAATTAACAATACAAAAGAAATTTTCTTCGGTAACTATTTAGATAACAGATGAATTAACTTCGGAAATTTGCAATGGCGCTTCATTTTAACATAAAGTAGGTGGATGATTTTATTTTCCCTTTTTTATGAGTCATTATATAAATGAGTATCGTGTTTGCATTTTACGCATTTATAATATCGGATAGATAAACAAGCTAGTAAAGGTATTACACTTCAAGCAGACGAAAATACCATTTAAAAAACTGATGTTGCGTACTGGTGATGGAACAAATATTTACGGTCTTGATGCTGATCAATTATTTGAACTTCAAGCAGCATTTCATCAGATTGATACAAATCATAATGGTTATATAACCGGTAACGAATTGCGTCAATGTCTTCTGCGTTCTGGTGTTCCTTACAATGATCTTGAAATTCAACGTGTCTTATCAAAAATGGATTATAATCGCGATGGACGAGTCAGTTATGATGAATATATGAAATTCATGTCACGAATCTATCGAGGCGAACAACCATGAACAAATTACGAGTATAAGCACTTTTTTTTTTCATTTTTCTTATATATTATTATTATTTTTTGAATAAATTGATGACAATGAAATCACTTCGAAATGTTTTTAAAAAGTATGTATTAAACAAAATATCCAGTTTTTTTTTAATCTTTTTGCTAATCTAAAATTAAGAGGGATTCATGAGACTACTGTCTACATAAACATATGAAAAAATTTATAGTCTTGTCTTTTTATTATGAAACAAAATATCATAAATAATAATCTCTAAATTCAATATATTAATCTTTTCTACTTTTTTTGTTCCACAGTTATGAGGATGATCATAGTAATAAATAAAAATAAATTATACAAAGTCATGGAATTTTTCACTCTCATCATTCTTGTTCGAGATGTCTGTCATATATCATTTAATCGTTTATTATAATAACTCAAATAATAGAGCAAAGTATGTTCTATCAATAAATATTTGTAGATATATATATAAAGCTAATTTCCTAAATAACTTTCAAGTCGAGAAGTTTATCGATCTTGGTCTAACAGTAATATTATCAAGAAACATTTTTTATAGTATTTTGATTAAAAAAGTCTAATGATAGAGAGTTGTCAAAAAGCTGATAGGAGATTTTTAAAGAGTATGGAAAAGTCTTTCGATTCGTATATATATATATATATATAACTCATTGAAAAGAAAAGATGTGCTCGATATATAATTTTTTGGCTCAAAATGATCATATGAATCAATTTTTCGCTTTATTTTTTGTTGTTTTAAAAAAATAGTTCGATGTTAAATCAAAGTTAACTAGAAAATAATTATATATAATATAATAAAAGCTGATCTTTACTAGATTTAATTTGAATATTGAAACAAAAGCTTGCTCACTAATTAGCATTATATTAATGGTATCAAACTTGTTAAGTTACATTAATAGGTTAGACACTATGGTTTTTCCACACAAAACAAACATTAGAGAGCTCAGATATATATGAAAACATGAGAAATTTTCTTTTAGTTACTTGATTTCATCTTTATATTTAAGAAGTTTGATAGTTGCTTTATCGCGAAAGACCATCAACACATGTCTTGGGACATCATGCATGATTTCCATTTCAGTATCATCTATTTTCAGTCTTCTATGAAATAGAATATTAGTGGAAAGAATTTTGCTGCCTTATTTTTTGTCTATTCTTTTCTCTTGTTATTTCTCTGCTCGACATGTCTTTCATGGGTTCTATTCTTGATAGGTTTTACTCTATCAGTTGTCTCTATAATAGTTTCTTTAAATTCTCGTATCGTGGCATGTCTTTTATTTGTTATTTTTCACGTTTCTCTCTATGTCCTTTTGTCTTTAAATGTCCCACATTCTTTGTCTCTATTTCAGTTTATATATGTGTATATTTTATATATTCTTTTGTAGTTAGTTAACTAAAATAATTTTCTTTCGCAGTCAAGTTAATTGATTGCATGCAACCATAGAAGCATAATACAGAAAGCAATAGTTCTTATTAGAGAAAATATCTAATGATACTCAGAAATAAAACAATTATTTGTAATTTCTGTGAATAATAAGGAGTTGTGATGATTATTAGTATTTATATCTGTTACTTGTGCTTTCGAGTGTTTTTAGATTAATTACTCTTGAATTAGCATCGTTCGATCTTTGTTTAATGATTTCAAGTTATATATGATTGATAACAGTTTAAATGAAGCAGAATTTTCTCATATTCTCAGCTCTAAACAACCAAAAAGTAATGTGTGACGTTGATCATTTATAATTGTATTAGTGATTTTTTCGTAAAAGTCACCGTATCAGTTTCGAACTACTAGTAAATTCAACAAAGGGCTTGTTTTCGAAGACGTCGTGGTTCCGATCTTGAATAGTTTCTATTAATTATTGGACATTTGAATTCAAAATCTACAAATCATCTACAGCATCATTACATTTGTTCGGAGCTCTACCGCTTTTCGTTCAATCGTACGAAAAACAATTCATTTTAAAACATGCGGTTTATTAAAAAACAACTGCGTCACACAAAATCATGATGAATTGCAATTACTTTCAAAAATCTTGTTCATGATCATTCGAAGTAGATTTTGTGAAAAAAAGTACAATACTTGGGCTTGTGATAACTATAGAATAGAATTGGGCGACGAGATCACAAAAGAGAAAGGAAAGGAATATAATTCAGAATTTGGTGACTATCTAAATTTTCTGAAAAATGTGATAAATCTTTAATTTTATTATTTAGAATTTTTTACTACAACTTTGTTTACATTCTACTAATTACATCTACTTCTCCTCATTATATTGATATTAGGGATTTATTAGAAGAATTGAATATATTTGATTATGAAATAAATGGGAAAATTTTTGAAGAACTTCTACAAATTATTCTATGAAGATTAACTTAACTCTTCATTTTCGTTTCCTCATTCCCAAAACAACAATTTTTTCTCACACATAACAAAACTGCCTTATCATGTTATTAAAACTATGGTACCAAACGATTCAAGATGTATGAAACGACTTTATCAATAAACAAATAGAAAAATTGAACAAGATAGTTGCTGTTAAGCATCAGTGCACTGTATATTTATTTGATCTGAATATTTCCAGCTTCATCATACTACAATGATTTCAAAGCAGTTATAGATGTCTTAAGTGATGCATGAAGTAGAGTTAATCATTGGTCTTCACAACGTCACATATTAACTATTGTAGCTGATGGTCTTCAATAAAATATTCTCAAACAATACTACCAAGGTCTTACTGACTGACAAATGAAAACTATCAGAAAGCATGATTATTATATTGGTAAGATTTCTACTTTTCTTTGTACAATATTAACTATTTAAATTTTGTGTTATACGACGAGCGAATCTTGTCAACAGATCCCGTTTGCCAATACAGCAGATTTTTATATACCAAATTGAACATTTTATTGATTTTATACTCTCTTCTCATATATCTTTTGATACGCTATATGGCTTAAAACACATATAAATGTTCCATGAAGAAAACTACGAAATTTCTCATACAATCCGTAATCTCATCAGTTCTCACATTATCGAACAAGAAAAGGCATTATGTTTTGAAACTACAGCTACTACCTTTTAACCAATATCAACTCAATCTGGTTTATTATCCTTAGTTATTATAAAGATTTCCTCGCAAAAGTAATTACCTGACATATCTAATGGATCAGGTACTTTTGAAGATATATCTAAAATTTACAATAAATAGATTTGTTCTGATAAGCGAATTACTAATAACAATTCTTAGTATGTTATTAACTTAGAGGCATTTCAGAAAAAAATTGCCGAGCTAAAAGTAAGAATTACATCCTCACACAATTATCTCAAAGTATCATACAAAATGCACATCTTTCCTAGTACTCATGGGCTAGATCGTTGTTCTCGACTTGCTTTTAACGATTCAAGTCCGAGAAATGATTATTGGAAAGCAGAAAATACTTAGGAGCATGACGAAAACTAATTTTCAATTGAAAACATTTTTCTTATCTATATATATTGTCATCCTTTTAGATGCTGAATGGTTTTATTCTGAAAGCATCTTTCAATAATATCTATTTCCTTCTCAAAAATAGCGAACTTTTAGATCTAGACATGTATTTCAAACTACTATTTTGTTCAATATCATCGCAATACAAAAGTCATGCATAATTGGAAAAAAACAACAACTTCGAACAGTGGATTGTGAGAATTCTATGGAATTCATTCTTGATCATATAGATGAAAGTGGTATTTTCTATTAGTTGATTGAACCATGAAGTGATTATCAACAAGATATTCAGAAATACAAAGCACTTTATTCTGTAAATAAGGCTTGATCTGGCATTTAACTCACGTATTTCGTTTATAATATTCAATTATATTAATAAATTTAGAATCTAGTAGTGGAAACCATCAAAAATAATGTAAGCTTTGTAAAATTCTATTAATCGACTTTTACATAGTACCTTAGCTCACTTCAGAATGATATATAAGATTGAGAATATATTCTTTCTCGAAAAAAGACAAATCTTGCATATGCAGTTATTTCTATCAAAAACAACAAGAGAAATTACATGTTTGTATTATGGTTTAAAAATAAATGAAACTGATTTATATATGAGTGAACTCGTGAGGTTCCTATCACTTTCAGGGGAAAACTTTCTTCCAATTTTAATAGACTAGTTAGACGTAACGTCGTCGAAAACGGTCTGAGGTAACAATTAAAACCTTTTTGCAGACACATAGTGTGGAGAATCAAATTATTTTTTAGGAACACTCCACATGCATAAAAAGTATCCTATAGTAAATTGTTAACAATATTTTTCATGCTTTATCTTGACATAGAGAGTTGAAATTTTTATTACATATATATCTAATTAAGATCTTTTATTTCTGAAAGTTTCAGTTCTCTAGCCAAAACTACTAACGAAATACATTGACAAAACTGAAGTACATAAAATTTCGTATCCAATTTTTGCATATGTTTACTGTGAAACTATTTCACCATCAGCTTTAGCTAGAGAGCTGAAACTTTCCGAAATAAAAGATCTTGATTAAATATGTATGTAATAAAAATTTCAGCTCTCTATGCCAAGAAAAAGTATGAAAAATATCATTAATAATTTATCATCAGTTGTTATGGGATACCTTTTATATGTGCGAAGTGTTCGAAAAAAATGATATTCTTCTTCACACTTTATAGCTCCAAAGAGGTTTTGATT